ACATATTCAGCTGGCACAGTTGAGTGTTCATTCATTTTGCACCTGAGAAGTGCACATTGACATTATTTGAATGCTCAGTAGTTTACGTTTTCCTTCTTTTCTTCAACTCAAAATAACTGGCATTGTTAAAACACTGCTATGATTTTGAAATGATTTTGTTAATTCTTTTCCTATTTTTAAATTTTTTCTTGGACTTGACCATAACCTTCAAAAAACAATGTGTTTCAAAAAGGAGTGATTCAAGCTGTTTGGGAGATATTTTAACTATTTCTGACTAAAGGCACTATTGAATTCAGTAGTATTCTAAAATTTATATTAACTTTCAATCCAGTTGATTATTCTAGTTATGTACAAAATACATTTTTTCGAGATGGAGTTTTGCTCTTGTTGTTCAGGAGAAGTGCAATGGTACGATCTCAGCTCACTGCAACCTCTGCCTCCCATATTCAAATGATTCTCCTGCCTTAGCCTCCCAAGTAGCTGGGATTACAGGCACCTGCCACCATGCCTGGTGAATTTTTTGTACTTTTAGTAGAGACGGGGTTTCACCATGTTGGCCAGGCTGGTCTCTAACTCCTGATCTCAGGTGATCCACCCGCCTCACCCTCACCCTCCCCCTCCCAAAGTGCTGGGATTACAGGTGTGAGCCATTGTGCCCAACCCCAAATACATTTTAAAGAAAGGAAAACTTCTAAAGTATTTCTCAAAAGTGCATCGTATATATAACTTGAGCATATATACAGTAGACAAATCGTTCACACTAATTAGTTGGGGAATAAAAATTCAACCAGCTAACAAAGCCCCTTCCAATATATACTCCTAAAGCTGGCCAGGAGACTTTACCACCTGCCCTTATTCTGAAAACTTCATAACACTTCATGGTGACTACAGATAGCTTTTAACTGGACATTTTCACAATGGAATCATACATTTGATAATGAACCTTAAATTTTCACTGCAGATATCAGAGTCTGCCACATTATGTTTACCTATTTTTTCTTATCGGATTAGGATTGGTATTCTCTGTTCCATTGGAAAGTGGCTAGAAAGACTGACAAGGAGAGAAAATTCTAGTACCATGAATTTATAAAGGTGAAATTAGGCTATTCAGTAAACCAGAAGCCACCTGCTGTGCACCAAGGGAGGGCAAGATGCCATTTTCCGAGATACAGATGAAGTGAACAGGATTACCCCAGCTAGTGAAGGGGTAAAAGGGAGACAAATGGTTAATTAAAGGGAAGAGTGTGGGAGGAGGCATCTGAGCAAAGCGAAGTCCTGCGTGGGATGCCATAAAAGGAAGAGATGGCATTCAGGCATGGGGCCCAAGGGAGCATGTGAGCTGGCTCTGGAAGAACAAGTGGGATTTGAACAAGCAAGGACTCTGTCTGGCCCACCCATAATGTCACCCTGTAGAGCATCCATCATGGCACACTGCAGGGGGCAAGGCAGAAGTAAGAACCCCAGCAGTGAGGCTCTTCCCATTACCCAAGCAAGGTTGGATGGTGTCTTGCAGTTCCATCATAGTCATAGACAAGGGGAGAAGTGGTTTGATTCTGGACACATTCTGAAGGTAGGTAGAGCTGCAGGATTTGTTGATGGATTAGAAACAAGATATGAAAAAGGGGAGTAGTTAAGATTCGGGGTCCAACAACTGGAAGAGTAAAGTCACCATAACAGAGAAGGGGAAGCAGGAGTTTAGTATGGGATGTGTTCGACGTGACAAGCCCATTAGACATCCACGTAGAGAAGGCAGTTGTCTATGCAAGTCTGACGGTCAGCAAAACCTGGGTGGAGACTCAAAATCCAGTCATCAGGATGCGGCGGTATTCAAAGCAATGGCCTAGAGTGAATCTAGACAGAGCCTTGGGCCCTCCACTATTTACAGGCAAGGTGAGGAAGAACAAGCAAAAGGGAATTGTCAGGGCGCTGAAAGGAGATGCAAAGGAGAGCCAGGGCCTGAAAGCCAAATTGAGGAAATGTTCAAGAGAGAAGTGAAGGCTTCAACAAACGCTGCAGACAGATGGGCGGAGACCTGTGCACTGACGCTAATGCTCAACAGTGCCCAGATTAATATCTCCTAGCCCTACTTCCTTAAGTGAAAGAAGCTGTCTTTTTCACACGTTCCTTGCACAAATGTCTACAAGAATCTCAGGCGGTGAGGGGAGTCAACGGTGGAGAATGGGAACACGTGTATTTCCAACTTGATTCTAATCCTCTTAGAATCCATATACAGAACAAAGACTCAGAGGCACTACTGGCGCTGAACTCCCCAACTTCAGTCCCTAGTGCTGATTTCGGGGGACTTTAAGAACTTTCTTTCAAGAGCTGTGAAGGCTGAGCAGTTGGTCTTCAAGTCCAAGAGAAAAGGTGTGTCCTCCTGGATTACACTCAAATGAGCAAAGCAGCCTGAGCTCCAAGCTCTCTGTAGGAGACCTCTCTCTCTCACTTTCTCCCTCTCCTCGCTCTCTTTCTCTTTCTCTCTCTCTCTCTCTCTCACACACACACACCCCATTTTTGCCAAGGCTCACTCCAGTATGAGGAACCCACAAAGAACACCAAGACCTCCATTCTGAGCAGGGCCTCCATTATTTGTCCTGCCATTTGTTTGTTCTGCCTCATGTCCTCCAGGCCATCAGTGATTCTCGACTCTCTGGTGGGGGTCAAGCTTCCCATCATCCCACGGAATCTCCTTAGCCCATTTGTAAATTAGTGGAAACACAGAGGGAGTGAGGGAAGGGTGCTAGCCTGTCTTTATCCTTCGCCAACATCAGATTCCGGAACAAAACTGGCCCCTAAGTCTGTGCAGCAGCAATGTCTAAGTCCCAGCTAAAATGCCCTGTTATCAAAATCTGCAGAATGTTTTATCTTTTTCAGGTAAGCTCAAATGTTTCTATCCTCCCTTCCCCCGACCCCCACATACGCACCAAGAAATGTCATTGAAAACAAAATGAAAGTATCTCATACAACAAAATTCATTCAAGATACTGTCTTTGACAATGGGAACTCAATTCTAAATAAGATACAGGAATGACTAAACACCAAACTGAAAGAAATTTGAAAGCAAAATTAATATTTTACACCAACTAACAGTTTGTTTGCAGCATCAGCAAAATCAAGCATTCACCTGTTACTAATTTCCTCTAAATACAAAGTCCACTGCATTTCTAGGAAGGATGGTTAGTGTTTGGCAAATTTTTTGTGTTAAGTGTTGAAAAATATAACTGAGAAGTTAATCAGAGGACCACAAGTAGGCACAAAGATCTAAAACATGTTGATTATTTAAAACACCAGAGCTCCAGAGAGCATGCAAGTCTTTATCTTATAATAAAATGATCCTATAAGTCACTATAAAAACAACTGACTACTTTGTATACACGAGTTTATCCTAGGGACTCTAAAAATAGAACTTGTAGGATTTAAATCTAAAGTAAAGATTTTACGGGCATGATCTATTAGATCCTCCAGCTGATCCATTTATTTGCTTCCAGTATGAACTGATAACTTGCTTATGTTTTCTTCAAAAAGTGAGACCATTCTTCCCATAGTTTTTCTATCACCAACCTTACACTGGTGGTCTTTAGGGTTTTTCAGTTCCATAAAAGGATTGAAAGAGTGTAAGAATCACTGCTCTAAAGTACCCTTATGAAAAGACATACATAAGTATGAAATCACAAAAATCACAATGTGTTTCCAAACAAATCCAGCATTCTTTTCTGGCCAGTAGCAGCAAACAGGTTTTCTGGAACTGACATAAAATCTAATTTAGCCATTATTACAACATTACCAGCAGCTCAGAGCACTAAGTTACCTCAATATCCCAGTAGTGCTCTGCCCATATTATCTATGACTTTAATTAAAAGTGTTTAGAAATGGTTTTTATACTGACTTTGTTCAGAATATGTGGCTGAATTCTAAATTTAAAAGTAGGTCTTCCAGTAGGCCCACAAGACATCAAAATTGGGTACCAAAAGCTGTACATTTAAACACTTTTATTAAAATGTTTATACATGTACATAAAATATTTTATTGTGACACAAAATTCTGTACAAAGTGTACTAACAACTGACATGATTATAAATGAATCCCCAAAACAATGGTACCTAAATTTGAACACTAAGGAGAAAACAATGGTACCTAAATTTGAACACTAAGGAGAAAAAAGGAGGAAGAAATACTTGAGACAACTTTACCATGGCATATAAATATTTCTTGCTGTCAAAATTAATAAAATCTTTTGCACAGGGGTGTTACAATTAATTTTATCAGGCTAACAATGTCATAAGTGAGGAACCCTTTCAACTGTAGAGAGCACTGTGGAAATACAGGTGTGGTAGAACAATCTATGTCACCCTGCAGTTGTTTCTGTGTTTCTATGACTAGCTGTGTTTGAGATTGTATAAAGTGGTCTTCACACCCCTGGTGAATAAGTTTGGTGGAAGCAGAGTTCCCTACCCTACCGCAGAAGGGACCTCCAAACACAGTTTAAAGCTGACTCTTGGGGAGCTGTGTTTTGACATTTTCACAACAGTGTGAATTTGTGCCACAAGCAAGACAGATCTTATTGGATTAACACTGAACTCGTGACATCTCCACAGACAGTAATTCTCTCTGTGCAGCTTAAGAACAAACGTGTTTCTTTCATCCACCCTGCTCATTCTCTCCTGTAGTTTCCCCTAGCAAATCCTCCCCGCCATCACCTCTAGGAATTCCTCTACACCCAGAGAAAGGAGTTCCTTTCCTCACTGCTGAAATCGATTCCCACTTCCTTTCCACAGATGGACTCCAAGGGGCACTCACTCATGTGCCCACTGAGGGATTTCTCTCCTAATTCCTCACTTTCCAACGGAAGTCAGAGCTGCTCAGTTTCCCCCTGGTGACCACATACACGTGTCCAAGTGAAGCCTCGTCTGGGGGAATCTCAGTTCCCACACTTCCCCCTGGCCCCACCTGGGGCCCTCTGTCTCCCCTGCGTGGCCCTCCGCCTGGCCCCTCGCACTCACCAGGAGGAGGTTGTGCGCCACCAGGTACCCAAGCCGCGGGCTGCCCCGGATGCCGG